CTCTTTCTCCCCCTCCCTCCCTCCCTCGTCGCTCTCTTTCTCCCCCTCCCTCCCTCCCTCCCTCCCTCGTCGCTCTCTTTCTCCCCCTCCCTCCCTCCCTCGTCGCTCTCTTTCTCCCCCTCCCTCCCTCCCTCCCTCCCTCGTCGCTCTCTTTCTCGCCCTCCCTCCCTCCCTCGTCGCTCTCTTTCTCCCCCCCTCCTTGTCCTCTCTTTCTCCCCTCCCTTGTCACTCTCTTTCTCCCCCCTCCCTCCCCTCCCCTCCCTCCCTCCATTGCCATCTCTTTCTCCCCTCCCCTCCCTCCCCTCCCCTTGTCACTCTCTTTCTCCCCTCCCTCCCCTTGTCACTCTCTTTCTCCCCTCCCACCTCCCTCCTTGTCACTCTCTTTCTCCCCCTCCGCTTGTCACTCTCTTTCTCCCCTCCCTCCCTCCACTTGTCACTCTCTTTCTCCCCCTCCCTCCCCTTGTCACTCTCTTTCTCCCCCCTCCCTTGTCCTCTATAACTTTCTCCCCCTCCTCCCTCGTCACTCGCTGCCACTTTACTTGTCACTCTCTTTCTCCCCCCCTCCATCCTTGTGTATATACTCTTTCTCCCCCTCCCTCCCTGTCAATTCCTCCCCCCCCACCTACCTTTGCTGTAGCATGGTCGAGCGCTCTATGGTCCGCGGGTACAGGGAGCTTTTGTTTCCTGTACCCGGCCGGACTACCGGACTAACAGGAAGTGCACACTGAGTATTCACTTCCTGTTAGTCCGGCTGGGTACAGGAGACAGATGCTCCCTGTACCCGTGGACCATACAGGGCTCGGCCACGCTACAGTGAGGGAGTGACAGGAGGGAGCGTTGAGCGCGCCCTCCTGTCAGCACCTCTCCTCAGGCTGCGCCCGGGCGGTGCAGTCCGCCCTCCTGGACGCACCGCCCGGGCAAAGCTGCAGCCGCCTGAGGCTCTCTACAGAGCGCTCATTGCGGCTGCAGCATGGGGGGGCCGGCGGAGCTGGGGGGGATTTCCCCACAACCTGTCCCCCCCGCATGATTTGCTGGGGGGGATGCGTCGCCCCCATCCCCCCCGGTTCCTACGCCCATGTCACTTCATAGCTTCCTTTTTCAATCTTGTCTTTCAATTCGAGCACTTATCTTCAAATGCTGGATATGTTTTCACAAGACAGTGATCAGGGACAATCTGATCTTATCTCCCAGAAAAGAATGTTGAGTTTTCTTTAAGTACACTGGGAGTAGCCGGTCGAAATCCTTGCGAAAGCAGAAGTTCAGGTCAAATCTGAAATTGCTCCCAAAGTGCTAATGGGTTTTCAGAGCACAAATGTGAAAACTCACGAGACTTGATGATTTGCTGAAACGAACAGAAAGTTAGATGTTCCTGTAAATCTGAACTGCATCCATGAAGGGCACTCAACGTTGTGTTTTTTAGGCAAATAGATCCGGAGAATAACAGTCTTAAAAGATGTTTTAAACAATATAAAAATAAATAGTACAGAGAAGTCTTCATACTGTTTTTTTAGCGTTATGTGAGCCTGACGTTTTTTACTTTAGCCTTCTTCGAAGTGTATCATCAGATTAACTGAGATTACAGAATATCAAATGTAAAATAAAGCCTGAATTATCCAGAATCTGCTGTTTACCTCGTGTTCAAAGCCACAGAATGAAAAAAAGAACCCACAGCTGATACGAGATACAAGGAATTTAATAACAATGTGCTCTACAAGTACACCCACCAAATTCACATAGATCAAAGAGATTGAACTATTCTAGAGACTGGCTGAAATTGATTTAAGGATTTCAATTGTACCATAAATCAAAATTGAGTAGAGCTTAATGAGTGAAACAATTCTACAAATAGGATTAAAATAGGCAAAACAAAATCCCTATTGTGCCAAGAGCAGGAATCAAAATTCACTAAAAGTTGTGTTTACAGCAAACTTGCTGGATTGTAGTCATCAAAGATTTCACCAAATAGAGTATTTTGGTTTGATTGTTGGTTTTTAATTTATGGCAAATAAACGGTTTAGTGAATAATGTCCCAGAGGCCTCGTTGAATGATATCTCCTCTGTGTGTACCTGGTATATGCCTTCTCATATAGGTAAGAACAGATTTTATTTTAATGTTATTATATGTGTGGAGAGGTCCTGAAAGGTTTTCCTGTTTGTCTCAGAATGTTGTCCAAGATTACAGAGTTGCAGGTTGAAAGGCAGTGCCTCAGGGCCAACACTAGTCAAATTGTAATTTGAGAGTTCTAGTTGTCGTTTCTCTCGTTTTTCAAATCCTATAATATTTTCAACAGTTAGAACTGGAAATACCAGATTTGCTCAATCTGAAAACTGATAGAAGCACTTTGTAAAAGCTATCAGCCCAAACGAGAGATAAAATTAGACGTTTCTGTAAAAAGGTTTTCTAGGACAGATGCCTTGGATAACTTTCTAGATTAAAGCCATGCAGGCCAGGTAATGACTTGTAATCTAGAAAGCTTTCCCAGATATCTACTGATGGATATCTACTGCTGGAGATGTTTCCAGCAAATGGACTTCCGAGTTCAGTTGGGAAACTGTAAATAAGAAAAGACAATCAAAATCACTTAAAATATCATCCCAATGAAATGGACCTGTATCTAGAGTAACATGTTCACAAAATCTACACTAATGTTTGTTTTCTGACCCTGACTAGCAACCTGTATTGGAAGCCATGGAATGGGTGACAAGATAACACAATTAGGGTGAAGATATTGTTGGAAATGTTATGTGAGGTGATACGATACCATGCTGCTATCATGCATGACGTGTTTTGTGTAACTGTCCCAATATCAGTACCAGTTCCATTTTCAGAATACGTCTCCTTCATTTTAGTCATGGGAAGCCCCCAACATGTACCAGACCATGTAGAGGCTCAGTGTTCCCTGGATTTACTGACCATCATGACAGGTTATCATAGTATGCAATATGTTCCCTGTTCCTCTCTCCTTGCTCATGCCATTCTGTAGTTATAGAAGCCATGCAGTAAACCCTTGGCTTCCAGATCCCCTAGATGGAATTCCTGTCCACTCTCTCCACCATCCCTTATCCACCAGACTTCCTGTATAGCTGAGTGTAGAATTCTACAGGGGAAGGAAGGTAGGGAGAGAAGGGATCACAATCTTTCTCCAGTGAATGCCATACCCCATCAGTTCTGGAGGAGGAGGACTTGGGCAGAACGGAGGGAAGAGGACCGTCATTGGTCAGCTAATGATACATTGATTTATGTTTATAAATAAATATATATTGTTTTTGTATTGTGTGTTATTCCTACCCTGTGGGTGTTTAACAACTTCCAAACCCAGATCTAGGACACTTTATATCTGTTTGTACTGTGTTTGTCTGTTTAGAAATAATATAACAGAATGAGATCTTTTAGCAGGTTCCCAGAATAAGCTATGATGCTCGATAAATCTGGATTTAGATGATATATTCTGCACAATTACTGCCCATTTGATAGGATATCATATTTTATATCATGTTTTATCATGAGTTCTACAATGTTTCTATTCTACCTCATAAAAATAAAATACTTTATTTGAAGTCATTATAAATGTTATGTTTGATTACCTAGTGAATGAGGAGGTGATTAAAAAACTTACAAAAAAAAAGTGGTTTTTCAAAATGATTTTACTTTTGAAAAGTTTATTATATAAATACTGAGAGACAATACCCTTATGTAGTATTTATGAGACCAGCTATAGGTCACAGCTAAGATGCCTTCCTGGTAACTGAACATAAGGATCACATACTTTACTATTTAATTCTCTGAGAATTCTGTTAATTATTGCTCATAATTGATTTAAAGCTTCTTAATTTTCAAGGGTGTGCTAAATCCCAAGTATTTAATTAAATTAGGAGCCCTTGAAAGGGCAAACGTAGGTACTGGAAAAATTGTTAATGACTGACGAATCTCAGAAATTAACTATTTATATATAATTTCTATATGCCACAACACCTAGGTGTATAAAATCATAAAAAAATCACGATCAAATAGCTAATAGGAATATAATTAAAAACGTAAAATATTGCCATCAGATATTGTAAGTTCTGTTTTCATTTACATTCTATTCACTATTTGGTAAAATAAATGTTGTTTTCAATGAATGCTAATCTTTTAAAACAGAAATGTCAAGTTTTTCATTTTTGTATTTTGTAAAAAGCTAATAATACAATCATCTTTTATATCTTTCAGGAACAGTCAGAAAAAAAGAGATTTTTTTTTGTAGTTCACTGAATTTTCTTTAGAAATTAAAATAATTTATAAATAATCTTTTTTAAAATGAATGTATTTCTTTTCTTTGCTTTTACTCTGTTACTTTTTTCAAAGTGCAAGTTAAACAGTTATTTTAAAAGAGCGTGCTGTTTTAAAAACGATTTAGTATTGATACTGCCGCCTTAGGATGGTGACTTTGTAAATACCCCAAAGATCTGATGATGGGGGTGATTTATCAAATTATTCTGCTCTAAAAAGGGGGGCACCAATAGAAAGTGGCTGTTAGTTCTGCTGGTTTCCATGGTGATTGTCCCACTTTTCAAAGTTAAACGCTGTAGTCACCATCACCAAGAGCTTACAATTCAATTAGGCATCTGGGTGATTCCTATGTTGAAGTCACCCTGTGTCCATTGTGGGTGCAGGGTGTGTGTGTGTTATGCGGTTGTTTGGGGTTAAATGTTAGTGTGTTCTCCTGTCTTGCTAATGCTTGCAATCAACTCGGTGGATTTGGCTGTGGAGCTTGTACAGCGCCACCTCTTGGTTGCAAGGATCTAGCAACAGCTATATGCAATTAGGCACTATCTGAGTAGCAAAGCTTGCTAATTTGCATATTCAGGTAGATTTACATATTGCTAATTCTGCAGGCAAGAGAGATATTTTCTGTTAATTATTGTCTTTCCCACCTCTTTATAAATATGTCATTATGTTATTATAAGTTCCTGTATGTTGTCTAATGTGATTTGACTGTTTGTATTTTTATTGAATTGTCACAGTAATCGAATGTAATAAACATATGGGCTAGTCCCAAGAAAATTTAAGTTTTGTTGTCAGTTTCTTTTGGAACATGTGTCCTGTGTGGATCTGATTGACAGAGTATTCAGACCTGTTTGCTGGTTGCAAGATCCCTTTAGCCTTAGGATACAGCAAGAGAACTGGGCCTGAGAGCCACAAGTTTCTTTTTTAAAGACAAAAGTGAAGACAATGCAGGTGGATGTGGATACCTGCCTGGAAGAAGGGCTGCAGCAGAAGAGACAGAGGGGATAATATCTGCCTGGAAGGAGAGCTGCAGACTGGTCAGGTGAAAAAGCACCAGAAGGACCTCAGTCAAGCTTCGGCAGCTGGGGATGAAGTTTTCAAGGGTCCCTGCAAGCAGTTAGGAAGCTGACTAGGCGGAGGTCCTCGGTCGGAGTACAGGAGCCCCGTCACAAACACACTTCTTAAAACAGAACACTTCGACTGATCTCCCCCTTAGTCTTAGGGAGGGTTGGGGTTATGGGATGTATAGAATTGGGGCAAGAGTAGGGGGTGTCTGCCTTTAAAGTGGTGGAGATTGAAGGCTAATTTCACTAAAAAGGTTTATAATTTACCCTTACAAATGAACTTGCATCAGTATTAGATCCACCAATTTAAGCTTAGTACAAAACATTCAAGTTTTACTCGTTACACTCACTATTTAGTATTTATAACTGCAAACAGTAATAAAGAGTCACTGTTTGAAGTTATAATTTATGGGATTACGTAAATTACTTTATATATCTGCTGCCTGAGTTCATTCACCCCATGAGCTCTGATGTTAAATATCGTTAAACTGACCCGAGCGCAATCCTTTATAGCAGCAGCGCGGCTCCTTACTCCACTGAGTAACGTAACAGAGAACTGGAAGATTAACCCCTTAAGGACGGTGGACATTCTATCCTTTTTAGGCGGTCCTAAACGCCGGCGTGCGGCATAGAACGTCCCCGCCGTCCTAAATACAAATATGTGTACTTTATTGCAGTAACAGCTAACAGTATTGTGACATTCACAGTTAAAATGCCAGGCAGAACTAAAAAAATAAAATTTCTTAATTTCTCATTTTTTAAAATATTTTATTCATATTTAATGTTTAATATACACATATTTGATGTGACATGAAAGCCCCGTATGATATATAATAAGTGTGGGTACACATAATATGAAAGAGGTGAATTAAGCCTGAACAGACATATAGCGCAAATTAAATTTAAGGTTTTGTTTATGTTTTGTTTTAATCACAACTTGTACAACTGTCTTTAGTTCTTAAAGGACCAATATAGGCACCCAGATCACTTCAGCTCAATTAAGTTGTCTGGGTGCCAGGTCCCCCTAGTTTTAACCTTGCAGCTGAAACTATAGCAGTTTCAGATAAACTGCTATGTTTCACTGAGGGTTAATCCAGCCTCTAGTGCAGGGGTAGGAAACCTTTGGCACTCCAGATGTTGTGGGCTACATCCCCCATAATGCTCTTACATTCATAACGCTGGCAAAGCATTATGGGAGGTGTAGTCCAAAACATCTGGAGTGCCGAAGGTTGCCTATGCCTGCTCTAGTGGCTATCTCCCTGACAGCCACTAGAGGCGCTTCCGCGATTTACATGGAGTAAATTGCACTTATTTGACGTCCTCACGGGGTCTAGTGTCAAAAAAGATCCCCATAGGAATGCGCGTTCGGCTCCACTCAGGAGTTGACGTTGATGAAGGAGGAGAGGTCATCAGTGCCGAGGTAGCCCGGCGCTGGATTAAGGTAAGCGAATAAATGGTTAATTAACCCTAAACATGATTATTTTAATGTTTTGTAAGAAACATAGCCACGATTACTTGGTGGCAAAATATTCCTTGAGATGATTTTTCCATTTTTAAAGAAATGGTCAGACATTTTCCCCACTGTGGGTATGCGAGATATTTTTATTCTTTCCTTTATTCTCTGTTTTTTATTTGATATTTTAAGTTTTAATTTATAATACTAATGATTTTAGTTTTTTTGATACAGAATTTTATTCTATACATCTATATGACCATTCTAGATCTGATTAGCTTGTCTTCGTTATTCCATCTCCATCTTGTTTTACACATCTTTTGGGTGGAGGTGTCTGCAAAGTTGGTGAATTCCAGCAATTCTGAAAAAATAGTTCTATAATGATTGACTAATTTTGATCAAATTAATTTAATAAAATAAACTGTGTAGGTATTGTAAACAAAGTAACGTTATACAGATAACGTTTATAGTCTATTTGTAATACATCCCTTTTATGAAGAATTCTGTGTTATTTTAAAAAAAACATACTTGTGTCACTTAAATTGAATTAAATATTTCTATTCTAGTCTATTGTTGTTGTACTTTAACTCCTGTGACATTCCGTAACACCATATTTCATCATTTTTCCCTACTGTGTATTCACTGTAAACACTTTCTTTGCTGTGTTAAATAGCTCATTTCTACACTGATTATATATTTACACATATATAACATATATTGGACAGAGGCAATATGCCTATTTTTGCAGATTTGTTTATTGTATTCACCACGGTAACGCTTTCTTTTTGTATTATTATTATACTTAATTTATAAAGCGACATCGCGTTCCGCAGCGCTGTCCAAGGTACAACTGGTACAGGTAAAAAGGCACAGTACGATATAAGTTTTATCATTTAAAATAGGAGTAAGTGGCGCGTTAAGTGAACTAGTGCTGCAGCAAAACACCCAAGTGTATTGTCACCGGATACACTTAAATTGTAGTAGAAATGGAAAAAGCAAGGTGATGTGTGCACACAGAGAATGTCATTACCTTTTTTATATATAATATAAATGTTTCTCTGGTAAGGTAATTAGAATGTCCTATATAAAATAAACACAGGGAACAGACAAAGTGTAATCTGTAAACACAATGTGAAAAATAGATGCTTTAGAATAGGAACACTCACAATTTTCAGAGACCATAAAAGTTGGCTTTGAACTTATAGGGCTTTAGTGTCACCTCAAGGACACACGCTGAATTCCTCCAGAGATGGAAGTCCCAGACATGTAGTATTGTTTGCTTGAATCAGGAAGTTTCTAGAGAAGGTAAAAGTAAGTATATGTATTTATTAATTAGTAACACATAAAAATAAAATGAAATATTAGCACAGCTAGTGTCAGTGAGTGTGCTTTAAATCAGTGAGATTGTTTGTCTGTTATTGAGAGTGTGTGTCTGTCCTTGAGGGTC